AAATTTGGTAAGGAGAGTGAGTAAAAAATACAATGCTTTCAGAACACTGAACTTAAGCAAACATTAACTTCAGCTGCTAGTTACATATAAACATAGCTAGTTACATATAAATTTTATGGTATCCATAAACAATAACCTCTAACAAATATGCAGAAATAGAAAAAAGAACAAAAACCAATCATTACATCAATGTATAAGAGAGCAAGAGAAGGAGAACTACAAAACAACCAGAAAACAAAGTAAACACTTACCTGTAATTACATTAAATGTAGGTGGACTAAATGCTCCAACCAAAAGGCATGGAGCTGCTGAATGGATTTTTTTGAAAAGAGCATATGTAGTCTATAAGAGACTAACTTCAGATTGAGAGACGTACATAGACTAAAAGTGAAGAGATGAAAAAAGACATTTCATGCAAATGAAACAAAAAACTGGGGTAGCAACAATCCTATCAGACAAAATAGCTTTAAAATGAAAACTAACAAGAAACAAAGAAGGACATTATATAATAATAAAGGGATCAATCCAACAAGAAGATCTAACACTTGTATATATCTAGGTACCAAAGTAGGAGAACCTAAACTAGAAAGCAAATATTAGCAGCCATGAGGGAGAGATTGGTGGTAATACAATAACAACAGACTTTAACACCTCATTTACATCAATGAAAAGATCATCCAGAAAAACCAACAGGGAAACAGTGGCCTTCGTATTTCTAGAACATTCCTCCCCAAAACAGCACAATATACATTCAAGTATAATACATGAAGCCTTTTCCAGGATACACATGTCAGGGCACAAAACACATCTCAGTAAATTTAAGAAGTCTGAAATCACATCAACCAGCTCCTCTGATCACAACAGTATGAAACTAGTTATGAATTTTTTTAAAAAGGATAAAACACCACACAGCAGTTAAACAAAATGCTACTAAACAATGAATGGATTAATGAAGAAATCAAAGAAAAAATTAAAAAATATATTAAGACAAACTAAAATAGAAAAATAATCCAAAATCTTTGAACACAACAAAAGTGGTTCTAAGAGGGAAATTCATTGTGAAACAGGTGTACAGCAGGAAACAAGAAAAATCTCAAATAAACAATCTAAATTTGCACCTAAACAAACCAGAAAAATAAGACAAAAGCCCAAAGTGAGTTGAAGGAAGGAAATAATAAAGGTCACAGAAGAAATGAGTAGAGACTAAAAAAACAATACAAAAGACCAATGACACCAAGAAATGGTTTTGAAAAGATAAACAACACAGATAAACCTTGAGCCACACTCATCAATGGAAAAAAAAAAAAAGAGGACCTAAATAAATATAAAATAAGAAATGAGAATTGATAACCAAAACCATAGAAAGGACTACAAAAGAACACTATATGAAAGGAAATTAGACAACCTGGAAGGAATGGGTAAATTCCTAGAAACATAATCTCCCAAGACTGAATTAAGAAGAAACAGAAAATCTGAACAGGACGATTACTAGAAACAAAATTGAATCAATAATCAAAAACTCTCACCAAACTGAAGTCTGGAATCAAATGGCTTCACAGGTAAATTCTACCAAACAGTGAAAGAAGGGTAGCCTTATGAAGCTACTCCAAAAAATGGAAGAGGAGAGAAAGCTTCCAAATTCATTCTAAAAGATCAGCATTACTGATACAAAACCAGAAGACACTACAAAAAGAACATTTATAGGCCAATATCCTTGGATCAACACTGATTCAAAAATCTTCAACAAAATATTAGAAAAGCAAAATCAGCAATACACTAAAAAGATCATATATCATGATGAAGTGAGATTTATTCCAGAAACAGACAATTCAGTATCTGCAAGTCAATCAACATGATAAACCACATAAACAAAAGGATAAAATCATATTATCATCTTAACAGATGCAGAAAGAGCATTTGCTAAAATTTAACATCAATTTATGATAAAAACCCAACAAAGTGGGTATGAAAGAACATACCTCAACATAATAATAAAGGCCAACTATAACAAGCTCAACATACTCAATAATAAAAAGGTAGAAGTTTTTTTTCTCCATGATCAGTAACAAGACAAAGATGCCTGCTCTCACCACTCTTAGTCAACATAGTATTAGCAGTTCTAGCCATAGCAACCAAATCCACCCCTTCACTATCAAAACTAATAAATGAATTCAGTGAAGTTTCAGGATACAAAATTATTATTCAGAAATCTATGTTTCTATACACCATTAATAAACTATTAGAAAAGAAATTAAGAAAACAATCTAATTTATAACTGATTTAAAAAACATACACCCAGATGGGGTGGGGAACCCCTGCTGCCATGGCTGAGTGGATTTAGTGCTGGCCTTTGAACCAAAGGGTTGTAAGTTTGATTTCCAGTCAGGGCACATGCCTGGGTTCTGGCCCAGTTGGGAGCATGTGAGACGCAATAAAACAGTGATGCTTTTTTCCTTCTCTCTCCCTTCCCTTCTCTAAATAAATAAATAAACAAATAAACAAACAAACAAATAAATAAAGCCTTTAAAAAAATCCCGAGTAATAAATTTAAACATGGATGTAAAAGACCTATACTCTGAAAATTACAAGACACCAATGAAAGAAATAAATATATAAATGGAAGAAAACACTGTACTCATGGATTAGAAAAAGTGATATTAAAATGTTTGTATTATCCAAAGCAATCTGTAGATTCAATACAATCCTATTAAAATACCAATGACATTTTTCACAGAACAAGAACAAGTAATTGTAAAACTTATATGAAACCACAACAAGAAACAAACAGTCAAAGCAATCTTGAGAAAGAACAAGGTTGGAGGTATCATCCTCCCCAATTTCAAATTATATTATAAAGCTACAGTAATCAAAAACAATGTGGTACTGGCACAAAAACAGGCACACAGATCAATGGAACACAAGATCTAAAAATAAACAAATGATTATGTGATCAATTAATCTACAAAAAGGGGGGCAAGAATATACAACTGGGGAAAGAGAACCTCTTCAATAAATTGTGTTGAGAAAACTAAACAGATACATATATATGCAACTAGGCCTCTTTCTTACATCATATAAAAAAATGAACACACAATGGATTAAAGACTTAAATCTAAGACCTAAAACCACAAAACTCCTAGAAGAAAACACAGACAGTAAACTCTGACATCAGTCTTGTAAGGCTTTTTCTTTTTTTTATATTTCTCCTTAGGCAAAGGCAACAAAAGCAAACAAAAACAAGTGGGATTACATCAGACTAAAAAGCTTTTGCACAGTAAAGGAAACCATCAAGACAAAAAGGAAAGAGCTACTGAATGAGAAGGTATTTCCAAATGACTGATCCTATCAGGGGATCAATATCCAAAATATATAAAGAACTCATACAACTCAACATCCAAAACCAAACAATCCAAAGAAGACAAAGAGATGGCTATTAAACACATTAAAACATGTTCAAATCAAAGATCACCAGGGAAATGAAGATCAAAGTCACACCTATCGGAATTACTACTATCAAAAACTGTAATACTATCAAAAACTAGTATAAAAAATAATAAGTGGTGATGAAGATGTGGAAAAAGGGAATCATTTGGCACTGCAAACTAGAGCAGCCATTATGGAAAACATTATGGTGATTCCTCAAAATACTGAAGATATAGAGCTGATGTACAACCCAGCAATTCCAATTCTGGGTATTTATTTGATTAAAATGAAAATAACGCAAAAAGATATGTTCAGATATGAACTCCTAAGTTCACTGAAACACTTCAAAGCAACCTAGGTCCATCAATAAATGAATGGATAAAGAGGATGTGACACACACAATGAATAATACTCAGCCATAAAAAAGAATGAAATATTGCCATTTGCAACAACATGGATTGGATTTTGAGGATATTATGTTAAGTGATATAAGACAGACTGAGAATGACAAATATCATATGATTTCACTTATATGTGGGATCTAAAAAACAAAACAGAAACAAACATAGATATAAAGAACAATCTGATGATTGTAAGAGAAGAAAGCAGTGGGAGAAATGGGCAGGAAAGGAAAAGAAATTAAGATGTACAAACTTCCAGTTGTTAATTCACAGGAATGTAATGTACAACATAAGTAACAGAGCCCCCTTTTTAAATTTAATTTTTATGAGATAGCCCAAAGATTCAGAAAAATACTAAAATATCATACTTAGATTTAACAAATGTTAACATTTCTTCCCTTACCATGCTGACATTGTCTGGTTAGGTAGCAACCAGACAACCAGGAATGAAGAAGAAAGGGCTTCATGGAAAAAGTGGTTTTGAAAATAGAGTTCCTTGGTAAAGGGACATAACCATAGAGCTCAAAAATAACATTAAATGGGATACAATTTAAACTTAATGCAAAGTCTATGAAGCATTAACATTCAACTATTTTGTCCCTTTTCCACTGCAATCCAAATGTCATATAATTATTTTCATGGTTATCGTTTCTGAAGCACTTCTGTCCACAAAGCAAGTTATAAGAGGTCAGGAAAAAAACAAGGTCTTTTCAGAAATACAGGGTTAAAGACATAATCCTATCTAAAGCAATGCCTGGCTTCATCTTTGGTTGTTCCAAGATATAGTTGTTCAATAAAGGGATACTGCTGTCTTTTAATTAAGTGGTTGTTAATTATGTATCTACTACATGTGATTTAGTTGCCCCACACTACCTGTATTAATGAAATAAACAGAAACATATTCCACATACCTCTTTTTGCATATACTAACTCAAAAGATTTATAAATGAAGATAAATCCCAATTCATATATTCAATTAACTACATATATATATACTATAAAAATATCTGAAGGCTTCATGACATACTCTCTTAGAGTTCTGCTAAATTAATATGTTTTTAAGTCCACTACTTCTGCGTGGATACAATAAATCTTTTTAGCCATGAAGATTAGAAACCAACCTTTGGGGGTAATATTTAACTTAGCATGTAAAATAACAAATTAGTAAAAACTTACTTGACATAAGTTTTGGAATCTGGGCTTGTCCTCTTAACAGCGGCCTGTATATGTTACCCTGGTAAGTCATGGGTGGAGGCGCAGTATTGCTGTAAAGACCAGTTCCTGAGCCTCTCGGCATAACATGGCTGTAAAAGGACCCCACAACCAGGGAAAAAAAAAACAAAAAACAATTATATCTAGATATAGCCATCACATCACAGTGACACAAGTTAAACAAGTGCTAGTAGCCATCTCTTTACTACTAGATCTGATCAAGATAATGCAATTTTCAAACATTACTAACGAAAGTTCAAAACAGTATTGATATTAATGGTGACAATAAGTGTTCATTTCTCACACCACAATTCTTCATCATTTAAATATTTACTAGGTACACTAAGTAAAAGGAAGTGATTCTATTTTTCTTTTTTTTCCATTGTATTTCGGTTTTGTCCTAAAGGACCCATGCTACTGCTATCACTATACAGATGTCCCTTGGTATGTAGGGGCTTTCTTTGATCTGGACCCCTCGAGGATACCAAAATCCAAGGAGTCCCTTACATAAAATGGTGTAATATTTGTTACATAATCTGTAGTGGTATATAAGTTACAGCGGTATATGCATAAAATCACTTCGTTCACATGGATTCAGTGTAGTACTTAGCATATGGCAAATTCAAGTTTTGCTTTTTGGAACTTTTGGAGATTTTCCCTCACAATATATGTATTTTTAAAATTCCCACCCAAGGTTATGTTTACTGATTTTAGAGAAAGAGAGGAAGGGAGAGAGGAAGGGATAGAGGAAGAAACACTGATATGACAGAGAAACATCGATTGGTTGCCTCCTATATGCTCCCCAACCAGGGATCGAACCCACAATGTACACGTTTCCCAACTGGGGATCACACCCGCAACCCTTTGGTGTACGGGATGAAGGTCCAACCAACTGAGCCAACCTGGCCAGGGTTCCCCACAATATATTTGATCCAGGGTTGGTTGACTCCATGAATGTGAGACCTGTGGATACAAGACGGCCAACTATATATACACTACTACTCTGTATCATGCTATTTTCAACATACTATATCAAACATTTCCCTATCTTTCATAGTGTTCACAATCTGTAATATGTATAACTATACAATACTTTACAATGTTTATGTCTCATATCTTACTTACTAAACCATTACTTTCATATAGTACTAGTATTACAGATAACAATACTTTAGAGGTGATTAGGCAGATAACTTTATGCTCCTTTAAAATTATTTTTTTCAGGATAAATTTCAAGAATTAGAAATTTGGATCAAAGTTAAGGCTATCTTCAGAACTCATAACTCCATTTAGAAGTACTTCTTATGTTGCTTAAGCAAACAGTTGAAATAATGCAAAAAGATATCTTAAGAATATTTTAAATTTGCATTTCTTTTACTATTAGGAATAAAGACTTCCAAAACAACCAACCACCCAAGCTAACATTTCCAGTATTGAGGAACTATCCTTAGCACTTGATAGCTATTAGCTTACTTAATCATCACTACAAATTCCTGAGTTAGGAATAATAATTATTCCCATTTTACACACAAGAAATGGAGGCATGTACAAAATATCAAGTGTTAGAAAAGACATTTAAATACAGACATTTAAGATCCAAAACCCATGCTCTTAACTATTATGCCCACTCACTGTCCCTTACTATTCACTATATAAAATATATGCTAATGACCTAATGCCCAAATCCGATTTTGAATCTTAAGGTTTTCCTATGAATTGGAGATATATATTTATGTGTTATCATTAATACATAAACAACAGCTCATTAATATTTCCCCCAGTCTGCTCTTTCAATTTCAGCCTTTTACCTGTTATTATTTCAAAGTCCCCTGTCTACATATAGTTTTTCCTGTAGCTAGGAAAAAGACAATTCAATAGCTAATAACAGCAATGTGTAAAAAATAAATCTGAAATTCCCTGAAGAGGAAATACAAATTACTAGTAAACATATTAAGAGACTCAATCTAATAGGCAAAGGAATGAAAATTCAAGCAACAATGAAATATCACTGTTTGAATAGTGGTTACATAAAAATCTAGAAGACAGGTGGTTTTGTGTACTAATGTATTGATTAACACTTTTAAGGAATTAATTCAGCTAAAACTTTCTTGAGGATAAAGAAAATGTTTTATTCTCTTGAAATAACTGTCAGAAAGATAAAAAAATTTTAAGAGGAAACAATAGAATTCACAATCAACAAATAAAGTGATACGTAAACCAAAGAAACAGTAGTGAATTTTAAAAACAGAAAAAAAACCAGGCAAGTATAAAATTCATTAAAATATCTGCAAAAAAAAGTTGTATTTAATAGTCTCTTAAGTATGTATCTGTGGTATAAATGCCAATTTAATGTTTTGTGGGTAGTTCAGAAAAAGCAAAATACACAAAGGACAGAAACCTACCACTCACCCCAAAGTCCTGAATGCTGCCTGATCCAGGTGGACAGGTCGCCGGTCCCGATTAAAGCTGAGCTGGGGCTTCCACTGCCGTCCATTGCTGGATTTTTCCCAGTCACTAGGTTTCAATACTGGTGCTGGTTTTCTGACCATTTCAAAATGTGAGAGTTACAGGAAAAATGTTGTTCGTAAAAAAAACTAGATAGTTTATATTTTATAACTGCATTGTTTTTACCTTGCTCCTGGAAGAATTACAGCTTTAAAAATGTAATCTTCAGCAAACTGTGGGTCTTTAAAATTAATACTAGAAAAAAACAATAAACAATATACAATTTAATAATATTATTATATCAACCCGACTTAACCATCACATAAACTGAGGTACCTCTCATTTTTAAATAGAATAACTAAAATTCAAAAGTCTTCTCCAAAAATTATTTCAGTCAATAAATATCATCTTCACTAAATTGCCCCTAATTCCTAAAAAACACAGCTTTCGTGAAACTTCCTATGAAAAAAGTCATGTTCTACCTAACTGTGGGTGATCACAGATATATGATAAACACTGCCTCAATTCTGAAGAAAATATAATCCTAGAAACAGGTAGGTACACTTTGCCTTCTTGCACAACCAAAAGAAGGGCAACAACAAATTGAGAAACAACAATTAACGAGAACTGCCAGGAAATCAAACTGTGTGTAAGTCTGACAACGAAGGAGTTAAAGGTTAAAGAAGAAACATTTATCCAGACTGGTAGTGATACAGGGTGCAGCCAGGGGGGCCCCCCCAAAAAAAAAAGATTTGGAATGGTGTCCAGAATTCAAAGTGTATAGGAATATTGGAGAGACATATAAGATGTCCTCACCCCCCCCCCCAGGGGGAAGGGATGAATGGAGCCAGGCCATTGAGAGCTGTTTTGCATAGCAACAGTTTTGCAGCTAACCTCTGGAATGGTTGTTTAACATATCTATAACCTTTAACTGGTTTCATAGATATGGAAAATAGCAGTGGCCAAGTTTGGGGCCAGGAAGAAGGGAGAGGGGAGTAGCAGGGACTGAGGATGGAACTAGGGGGACTCAAGATGGGAACTAGGGGCTGCTCTCCTGAGGGAGAAGGGCTTGGACTCAGAATGTAACTAGGGGCTGCGCTCCGGAGTGAGAGCGCCTAGGTGAAAGCTTGGAAAAGACTGGCTCCGAGACATGAAGGGTCCCCGCTTGGCCAGATGAAGGAGAGCCACGAGGTTTCAGCAGAGTGAGGACCCCCTCTTGGTGAGGTAAAAGAGGGAGCCACGTGGTTTTGGCAGGGTGTGGACCCCCTCTTTCCCAGGTGAAAGGGAAGAACCACGCAGCTTTGCCAGAAGGGAGATCCCTGCAGCCAGGTGAAGAAGAAAGCCACATGCTTTTGGTGGAGTGCGGACTCCTGCAGCTTTGGTAGAAGAGGCCCACGCGGCTTTGGGGTGCCCCCTTTGGCCGCGGGGCCTGAAAAGCAACAGAGACTTTGACTGGAACTGGGTACAAAGGACTCTTGCCAGTAGACCATGAGAGGGTACCACAGTACTTTGGATTAACTCGAGATCCTGCACAGTGACACAGCTGACGGTGCCAGCGGCCTGCAACACAGACGTGTGCTCTTTTCCTGATTTACGGTACCCAGAGTTGGGACAGTGGGAGAAGGGAACGCTGTGTGGGTGTAGGTGTACAACCTAAAGGACTTTAATATTTTAGTGGAGGCATTAGGCCTGAATAGCATTAAATAAACATTTTGTTTCCTTTTCACAAATCTCTGGCATTAAGAGATGTCTTTCCAATTGGCGGCGGACAGAAGGGCCCAGTAGATTTTAGTATTTTGTTTTCGGGAGGGGCCCCTGTTGTATAGCAGTTTTGGGCATCCCTAGGTGGGCCAAATATTGTGTTACCCCTCCCTCGGTCCTCATCCTCTTGTTCGGTAACAGTAGGAGGGGCGGAGAAGTGCCGTCAGGGCAAACAGGACTCACTGCAAGGTGGTGGCTGAAATATCCGGGCAGGCAAGGCAGTGTCTGGCAGACCAGATGAGGCTGTGGCTGGCTGACCAGGCAGTCCCACGTTTGTATGCAGATAAACAACTAGGGAGTGTTACAGACCATGCAACCCAGGGTTCCAGGACAGGGAGACAAAGCCTCAAAACCTCTGACTGTAAACATCTATGGGGATTGCGGTGGCAGGGGAAACTCCCAGTCTCACAGGAGTGTTCCTTGGAGAGACCCACTGGGTCCTAAAAGGTACACAAACCCATCCACCTGGGAATCAGCATGAGAAGGGCCCAGTTTGCTTGTAAGTGTTGGGGGAAGTGACTGAAAGCCACAAAGGGCGGAGCGAATGGTACTGTTCTCTCTCGGACTCCTCCCCCACATACAGTGCAACAACAGTGAGTGGGTTACCAGCCCTGGAAAACGCCTAAGGCTCTCTGCCTTACTGCATAACAGGTGTGCTGAGACCAAAAAAAAAGGCCCCAATGAAAGAACAGATCCAAGCTACAAAAATAGAACTAAGCCCAAAGAGATAGCCAACCTATCAGATGCAGAGCTCAAAACACTGGTAATCATGATACTCACAGAAATGGCTAAGTATGGTAAAAAAAAAATATATAGAGAGAAAAAAGTGAAGGCTATGAAAAGTGAAATAATGGAAAATGGACAGGGAGCCAGCAGTAAAGGGAAGGAAACCAGGACTCAACTCAACCATTTGGAGAAGGAAGAAACATCTAACCAGAATAAAATGAAAAAATAAGAATTCAAAAAAATGGGGAAAGGCTTAGGAACCTCTAGGACAACTTTAAATGTTCCAACATCCAAACCATATGGGTGCCAGAAGGAAAAGAGGAAGAGCAACAAACTGAAAACTTATTTGAAAAAATTATGGAGAACTTTCCTAACATGGCAAAGGAAACAAGACTTCCAGTTAGTTCAGGAAGCTCAGAGAGTCCCAAAGTTGGACCCCAAGTACACACCAAGGCACATCATAATTATACTATCCAAGATTAAAGATAAGGAGAAAATCTTATAAGCAGAGAAAAGGAGACAGTTACCTACAAAGGAATTCCCATAAGACTATCAGCTGATTTCTCAAAAGAAACCTTGCAGGCAAGAAGGGGCTAGAAAGAAGTATTCAAAGTCATGAAGGGCAAGGACCTATGTTCAAGATTACTATATCCAGCAAAGCTATCATTTACAATGGAAAGGCCAATAAAGTGTTACCCAGATATGGTCAAGTTAAAGAAATTCATCATCACCAAGCCCTTGTTATATGAAATGTTGAAGGGACTTATCTAAGACAAAGAAGATCAAGAATAGAAAGGGTAAAATGACAACAAACACAACTATCAACAAGTGAACCTAAAACCAACCAAACAAACAAACAAAAAGCCCCAAACAAAAACAAACTGAGCAAACACCTAGAACAGGAAGATAATCACAGAAATGGAGATCACATGGAGGGTTATCAGTGGGGAGGGGGAGAATGGGGAAAATGTACAGGGAATAAGAAGCATAAATGGTAGGTACAAAATAGACAGGGGGAGGTTGAGAATAGTATAAAAAATGGAACTTATATGTACAATCCATGGACGTGAAGGTTGAGAATAGTATAAAAAATGGAACTTATATGTACAACCCATGGACATGAACTAAGTGGGGAGGCGGGGAAGGGTGGAGGGAGGGGGAATGCAGGGTGGAAGGGAATAAGGGTAGGAAAAAATGGGACAAGTGTAATAACCTAACCAATGATATATATTTAAAAAACAAAGGAAACAGACTTAAGAGGTTTATAATATCATGAAAACACCTTTCATTTTGTTGAGTCCCTGGCAAAGCCTCTCTCTCTAGCATTCTAGAAAAGATCATCTCTTTGCAATAGGGACAGATGAAAACACTAATATAAACAGTTAAAAAATCAAAATTTATACAAAAATAATCTGTGGGGGAAAACAGTAAAGTTTCCAGTCGAACCCTATATCCTGCTCTACTATGTTTTTGAAAGCTTTACAACACAATGACTTATTTTATAAAGATGTACACTCAGACTCCGAGGATAACAAGCTGGGTCCAACTTCCTCTCTGGTTGTATAAGTCTATCCTAATGTTTGGTAAGTACACAGTCTTCCTTATGACACAGTAAAGCCTCTCTAGAACTCTGGGTGTGGGTCTGATTTATACTTCGTTACATCAGTGTTCATAATATGGAAAAACTATAAATCCTAAGTTCGTGAATAATGGCAGACTGGTTATAGAAACTATGGTTTTTCCTAAAAACAAAATACTTAGTTGTTAAACATTTTAGTAATAGAACAATGACATGGGAAAAATATACAAGAGACTAGACATATATTTAGCAAAAAGTGACCAGTAACATTCTGTGTACAATCAACCATATCCTTTCCTTCTTTGTTCCTTTTTATATTTTACAAAATTCCTCCAATGGTTACAAATTATTTTAAAAAGGTTTAGTGAACTGGTTGACATTTTAGATGGCTAACTTTTATTCTATTCAAATACTGCACTTTAAATTATTATGACCCATCTGTTATAAAGAAATTTTTTACAGTAGGATTTAACTATATATTTTAAGTACACAAAATAGCTTCATTTATAATAAAAGTGCTATGAGCTCAAGAACAAACAAGCAACACTTCACTTGCTCAATCTGTTCCTCTTACAACTCACTTTTTACTAGTAACAGTCTTTAACTCAAATGTTCTCTACTGGGCTACATGGCTTAGTCAAGGCAAGTCAAGACAGGGAGTGTTGAAGTTTTAAGAGGGTGATAGAGAAAACAGTAGTTAAGTAGTTGGGCTTATTAGTGCTTTGCAAATACAAATTAAAGAGAGAAATTTGGTAATAAAGCAAGACTTGCAACTAAAGTGTATCAAAGCAGTTATCTGTTTCAGCAGGACTTTTCAGCAGTCTACCAAACTTTTATTGTGCTTGCTACGTATATGGTCTCATGGTAGGAGTGGAGGTCTACACACATTGAGCCTGCCTTCTCTTCTAATAAAGAAAATAGCAGCCCTGGCTGGTGTAGCTCAGTGGATTGAGCACGGGCCTGTGAAGCAAAGGGTCGCTGGTTCGATTCCCAGTCAGGGCACATGCCTGGGTTGCAGGCCAGGTCCCCAGTAGGGGACACATGAGAGGCAACTACACATTGATGTTTCTCTCCCACTCTTTCCTCTTCCCCTCCCCTCTCTCTAAAAATAAATAAATAAAATATTTTAAAAAAGAAAGAAAATAGGAAATGTTTAATAACATTTATAAGGAATAAAGTGGAGAAATAC